CTCGTACTGATGCTCGCCTGCGACTTTTACTGGGTAGACTAAAATTAAAAAAAAGACTGGAATTCTAGAACCATTAATAATGGGGAAAACATATCCGAAATACATATCTAACTATGGATAGATATGCTGATATATACTATCTTGTAATAATTTTAAGAGTCACAGAGGAATCTACTTTTCTCCAGGATAAAAAAAGTGTCTTGTCAAACCAGGGGGCCATTCGCCTGACGGAAATGCTTTAGAAAACGCTATCGCTTCCGATTTTATTTTGTTATTTCTGACCGCCGAAGGTTTTCAAATACCTCACGCTCATTTTTTTTAATATTGTTATTACCAATGCAAAAAAAAAAAAAGAGCGCGAGGCATTTGAAAACCTCAGGCGGCTAGAAATAACAAAATGAAATCGTAAACGTTAGCGTTTTCCAAAGCATTTCTGTTAGGCGAATGGCCCCCAGGTGATGAGCCGAATATCATACAAATCCAATAAGCCGTTTTTGCGTGATTAATTAACCAACAGTGACATTCCTCTAATTAAGTACCAGAATTAATTATTTATTAAAATTCTTTTAAGTGATTACGCTTCAGTATCTGCTTTATTTTATTTACACTAAAAAAATATTGTTTTAGCTGATATTGACAACTTCTTCTGGGTTCAACAAACTTGCACCCACGATAGAGGGCAATATAAGTTTTTTTCAAGGTCCAATCTATCTCTTTACCAAAATTCATCAATAACGGTTCAGTACATTAGTTCCTTACAAACAAACAGACAAATGGACACAAGTTCTAACGCCATTGTAATACTACTATTAACAAGCGTAATGCAAAAAGAAAACAAAATTCTTGATCTATAAACAAATTACGAAAAGTACATCTGTAAGAAATCCCGATATTCCACCAACGTATACAATTACTGACTGACAAGGCGTAAGTACCGCATAGAAACTTTCATTAGCATACAACACAAATCTATTATGTATGATCAGCGACGTACCATCAAAGAGAGCGCTCCATATAGCCTCCGACTATAAAATCATTGCTTTTTTCCGTATCACACAGCCAGCCGATGTATTAAGTACATGTCACTCTCAGACATGAATACATTCTCGGCACAAACTCACTATATCACTATTCACACCAAATAATATACTTAACACATCACTAATGACCAAGGAGTCATTGAAAACCACGAAGGGATTGCTTTTTGTAATGAAAATGGGACGATTTTTTTTAATCTCTGAGCAAACGATACATCGCTCGAGCGTGCGACGGTTTCTACTGATTATTTCATGGACTCGTGTACTTTATGTAGTTATGTAAAAAGACTCATTTGCTGTGTGACAATCGAAAATGATCCTTGATGCTCAAAGCAGAGGGTGGGGTTGCCGGTGGCTACGTAAAGAGGGTGGGTCGCGCCCTGCGCCCACTCCAACCCCTATCTGAATAGGGATGTATCCCTATTACCACTGACGTAACGATTATAGCACTAACGCAAAACGTTTACGAGCCCTATAAATAACTACGCATTGCTTAAAATCATTCGACATCGCTTAAAGCGTAAAAATTGTAATGGACTGAGGGCCTGTTTTTATGTTTATGCAAGTGAGAGAGCTGACAGTCCATCCCAATTGTAAGTAACTCATGAGTTGCTGGCTCTATAGGAACTCAATTCCCTAACCCGTGGAGCCCCGGAACCTTACTTACCGACAGACAGAACACAACTACATTAAAAGTGGTCATTTTACTGGAGTCATCTGGTAGAGGTTACTTCCGTTGGATGGGCGCTCCAATTTTAACGGAATCCGCTATGACCTACCTCGCTTCAATTCTGAAAAGATTCTTCCAATCTATGAATAATAAATTATAGACGTGCTCGTGGATCTTTAACTAGTTCAAGAAGCATCCCAGAATAAAAATCGCTTTTAATTGGCCACTCTTCTTCCTTCTCTCTATTTCATCCATTTAGGGCTGGGACTTGAAGTGGATCACTTTTTTCCACTATCGATTTACCTCGGGAAATATTTAAACAAACCTCAAAAAGACATCAAATTATCACTTAAAAATTATTATTGGTAACCTAACCTTTTTTGAGAATCAATTACTATTTTTTCACGACGATGATACCTGTCTTCCTTATTCGATTTTGAGCACCGTCGTAGGAGCACCTCTTCTGTAAGGCCTGTAGCGTTTAATGTTTCTAAATTAAATAAAGTAACCAGCCCTGCATGATATAATTATTTCATAATTATAATATGACTAGCAAACCAGTGAACCAAATGTTCACCAAAAAAAAATGTATTTAAAAAATTCGTGATTTCTCGAAAACTGGAAGTGCTACGTTACTCAAATCCGGTTTGTAGTCTTATCAGACTATTCTTAACTTATAACTTAAACATTCTCTTTATCTATCTCTTATGGTTTGGCCGCTGAAACGGCACCACAGACAGACGGACGGACGGACGGACTTGTCTAATAGATAAGAGATTATATTATTGAAAGGAGTATAAAGCAGTACCACACATGTGTGCTACTGCCAATGAAATGAGTCTGCTCGGTTACTTCAGTTATTTTTCAATGTTTTTTTACTTTTCTCTGCGGTCTTTTTTTAAACTATTCAAGTTTGTATTTTTGAATAAACAATGTTATAAATAACGTTATTACATCAAGTGTCACATCTCTAGTTCATCAGGGTTACCAAATTACAAAATTCATATTTTAACAAATTGTGGCTTTACTTTTGTTATTTGTGTTTATGTTTGTAGGTGTTTCTGTGTTTAATTGAAGAACATAATTGTGCCCTGATGGGGGTCTGATTGACCGCATAAATTAACCGGCAAACTGTCACTGTATTTTGAGGGGCTACAGTAGATACTTAGGAAGGCTTTTGAGGCATTGTTTTAAAAAGACGAGCGATAATGGGGTTGCTTCTGAGAACTTTTAATGTTTGAAATGAATTGTCTGTCATTTCTTTTGGAGTCTTTGACAGATGGAAAGTTGTTGCATAACTTTAATTTATTTACTAGCTACTAATAAAGATTCCGTTCATTTATCTCGCGATGGCTGATCATTGGATGGGTGACCAAAATTATCTTGGCTCTTTCCATTAAATAGCTACATGAATTATTATTTGTATAAGCTATATTACTGTTAAGTTTCATTAAAATCCATTCTGTATTTTTTGGGTGATATAGTAACAGTGGTCCATACAAAATTTAGATTAAAATTTAAAAGCCTTTAAATCGTTGTGGACAGTCATATAAGATGAAAAATGGTGTTGGATTTTTTTAATCTATTGTTAGAAGCCATTACGATTATGGTGTAAAAAATTACGGAAAATTTTTAGGCCAGCTTTTATTTAAGATAATAGAGGTAACCCAAAATAAGGGATTAACAATTATTACAGGAGCAATGTGCTAAGCTCCTATAAAATCACTTAAAATAGAGGATGGCATACCGCCCATTCTTGTAAGAGTGCGTTACCTCACTGAAAAGTTTGATATTAAAGCTTTAGCGTATAAAGAATACTCACATTAATCTAAACACAATAGAGTATTGAAAAATAAACATATCTTTACTGCAGAAGCCTATGCTATATGTGCAGCTTTACAGTATGCCATTGCTATAGCTGATATCAATATTTCAATAGTGACTGACTCAATAAGTGTCTTAAGTTGCTTAGAAAAAATCATATATCTTATAAGAATAATACATATATTCATAAATAAAATAAGACAGTATTGATATGATAATCCTGAAAGACAACATGAGTTCTTATGGGTGCCATCCCACAACGGGATAAAAGGGAACGGAACTGTTGACAGATTATTAAAAATTCCATCTCCTGCCTACATTGTCCAATAACCGATTACTATTCAGTTTCGAAGCATTTCATGTACAAACATTGGCATAAAGATTGAAAATTTACCAAACAATTTAAGGGAAAGTGGTACGCAAGTATCCAAGAAAAGATTCCAATAAAGCTCTGCAGTGGCGGCGCTAGACCACATGTGGACGTCGGCGACATCAAGTTCGCGAGGCCTATTTGACTTCGCAGTATAAAACCGTTAAATTAAGTGAGCCAAATTATAAAATAACGTATGAGTAAACGAGTTTTATTGTTGATAATCAAACGATGACAAAAAAAATAAAAAAATAGAATATTATTACAAAAATAGTGTTGTCAGACAGACGATTCTGAATACCCGTAAAGTACTACTCGCTTCCATCACGCACCTGTTCGAAAATAATAAAAGTTTTTCCCTGAATTTTTCGGGGTCGGCTACCTAAGCCAGGCCAGGAGAAACGAAAATAAATAGGTAACTTGTAAAAATTTTTGCGAGACCCCCTCAGGCGCGAGGCCGTCGGCGGTGGCCGACGTCGCCGACGCCTAGCGCTGCCACTGTTCATTTTCCAACTAGAAGATTCATAACTACTATTAACAGACTCATATTAGGTCACGGAAGATTCGGTGCGCATTTACATAGTATAAACTTAAAATCTTCAGGAATTTGTGAATATTGTGATAATGATAAAGCTACACTAGATCATCTTATTTTATATTATCCCGCCTTTAGCATACAAAGAATTATTTTAGTAAATGGCCTACTAAAGATAGTTACAGATGATGACATTCCCCACCTGTTGCCATCTATTTCCCTATATATACCTTTTTTATTTGCCATCTATTCTCAACATGTTTGAAAACTAGTACAAGAAAAAAAACCCGTGAAGATCAAAGATAAAAATCTGAAATGAAGTTTTAATACAAATGAATTGGCTGTATGGATACTATCCAAGGCCGTTTAAATATTATAATTAAAAAAAATATAAAGTTAATCGAATATTTTTAAGACTCCTACAATCGAAATATTCGAATAAAGTGTAGAGTGGCTCGTCTCTAGATCTGTCATTCATTCATTCAAATGTCAAAGTTGAAATTGCAAAAATAACCTAAAAACTGAATAAAACATTGATATTCTAAAGCAAATATTACAATTTACTTCATATTAATAGTATTTATATTTAATTTATTACGTTGTTTATTATATAAGCGTTCAATTTATCTTATTCTACAATGAATTTCGCTCGAAAAATATGTACTATAAGGAACCAAACACTAAGCACGAATTTCAGCCGAAAATTTCGTATTTCCGCTAAGAACTTCGAATCTTCTCACGCTTCACAACCACAGGTGCAAGAAGAGAAGTTCGACTTCGAGGACTTGAATGTGTTAGAGCGAACAGAGCGACGCAAGCCCAAAATAAATCCATTCATTAAAGATGTATTTGTGTCCGTGTTCAACAAAGAATTACTAGCCTACCCGGAGATTCTGAACAAAGAGGAGACAGAAAATTTAAACGCAAGGCTGGCTGCACTTGAAAAAGTTTTCTACGACCCGTCAAAAACAAGGGAAGAACGTAAAATGGCGTTGAAAAGGACTAGAATGTATGCTGCACCAGTATCATTGACAAATAATGGTTTGGCGGCAAACCACACAGAGAGCTTACAGTACCTTGATGTAATATCCTCCGACGTGGACCTTGGACAGGAAATAAGTGACCACTGGGTGTGTTTAGAAGCGGTACGGAAGGGTTTGGAAGAGGATAAGTATCAGCAAATCGTTGACGATCTAATAACAGGAGATAGGCCCTTAAAATTGTGCATTAAAGAGAAGGTCGCTGAGAGGATTACGCAAGCAGATTTCAGGACACACGCTGAATTAGATGGACAAGGTTTGCCATAAATCATATTATATGAACACATTGTTATGTTTTCTCCAACCATTGAAGTGCACAAAACACTATGCTTCTGGGACCTTAATTGATGTTATAATAATTTATGGTATTTACGGGGTTGTTACCATGTAAATAACATAAATTAAATATGTTAAATAAAATAATATTTAAATTTTAAATATTTTCAACACACACAACTTAGCCTAGCCCCAAAATAAGCACTGAGGAATACATATACTGTACTATACTATACACAATAGAATACATATACTGTACTATACATATATATGTATATTCATATAGAAATACATATTAAAACATCCATGACTAAAGTACAAATGCTCGTATTCATCACCCAAATATCTGTCCCCACTGGGATTTGAACCCAGGACCTCTCGAGTAGGCGACACCTTGCCATCCAGCATACAAAACACTTGGCCACCGAGGTCATTAAAATACTAAAATTTTAGTCTCATTTCTTCTATTTTTGATACTTTACTACCATATCAAAATAGATTACTTTTACAAATATTGTTATTAAAAAAAAAGACAATTTATTTTTAATGATTTAATAAAAGCTAGATGTTTTATGATAGCCGGGCTAAGTTGTTTTTTTTATTTAAAGTTTTTTTTCCTATTTTATTTATTTTGAGGCTTTTACCTAATACAAAGGATATACCAACCCAACCATATCCAAACTATAAATTACAATATTGTTATAAATAAACATTAGTATAAAAATATAGTGTGATTCTATGTAATCAATCATGATACAAGTGAAACTCTCAATATCATTAAAAAAAGTGAGACAAAGGTATTGATTCAAAGAACTTACAAGGAGTTTGGTTTGAAATTAAAAAAAATACCTAATTAATATGCATGCATGCTTAGCTTAGTTAGTTAGTTAGTTCTTCAGGGCGGTTTCCGCACTTAGTCCTAATTATTGGACCATTGTGCGTGTCTCAAAAACATTCCCGTTTACTCCAGCCAGCCTATATCGGTCCAGAAGGAAAGCAACCTTGGTAGACTGCTGCAAGCTTCCGGAAACCGTTCTGGTGACTGGAGAAGTCGTGCCCGTTGGTCGGCCACACTCCTGCATTCCATGATGACATGCTGTGGCGTTTCTTCTGCCTCCATGCATCCTCTGTATAGGGGGCTGTCTGTTATTCCTATTGTTTAAAGGTGTTTGTTTAGGGGACAATGACCAGTCAGGGATCCTATAATCCTGCGAAGTTTGTCCCTATTTAGTCTGGTAGGGGTGCGGGCAAATCTTTTATCCTTCATCTGTTTTCCACTCCGTCAAGTGTGATTTCTGAGTTATTTCACGCAGCCACGTTTTAATTTGGGCCTGAGGTATGGGCAGCAAAGGTTCCGGACCATACACTTTTGTGTCTTCTCCCCTCTGCACTGGCACTGCACTGACATGCCTAAATGCGATATGTATAGCACGTAATTTTGAACTTTCATACAATGTATACAACCTCCGTAAATGCATTTTTTTAATGTGTGTGAAAAAATTAATGACAATGTTTTCTTCTCAGGTGTATGGAGGATTTCCGGAGAAAAGTACTGCACTTCCGATGGAGTCGATGAATATCTCCTAGTGTTGTCGTCGTTTGAAAGCGATCGTGTGAGAGCTTTCCTCGTCCATCCCAACGCAAAAGGCATTGAACACAATGGATCATTTATAACCTTCAGACAGACACCAGGTAAGAGTAATTTATAGTCATAACTATATAGTCATAATAGTTATTACTTCATGTTGGTTACATTTAGTTCTTAAATCTAATAAATAACAGCTCACAAAGGGCTTTGCAAATTATAATAAAAATATACAAATATTAATTTAGGAAGGACAACTCCCATACAATTTTTCGTTGAAATTTTTTTTGCATCTATAAATGAATTGCATGTTAAATTATAGAGTTTAGATTCTCGATTTGATTCGTCTTATTTCTTTTATTATAGGAAGTCTAGATTTATAGATATTCTACTTTGAAGTTTTATAAAAGTATTTTCAGGAGTATTTTTATATCAAAATAAAAAATACATGGAATGGAACTATAGAAGTATACCGGTCCCGTAGATTAGTGACGAAAAAAAATGTTTTTTATAATGTATGATCAGTGGGCGTAGGTACTGACCAACCGCATCAAAAAACTTAATAATACTTAACAGACAAGGGTTATTGAGTTCGAATATAATGTCTGTGCTGTAAAAAGTACTTAACAATTTGAAAATGCCCACAGTAATAATAAAGTATAAAAAAGGATTTCTAATAGTGTACTAATGGGATATTAATTAAATATGAAACACTTTTTATATATTTTTTATTCCACATCTTTGATCACAATATCGTAGATAGTAGATACAATGAAAGCTAATTTTTAACAAGAAAATTAAACTGCTAAAGTTACGCTTCCCGATCCCGCCAAAAAGTCCTTCGGCCATTTTTTTGCCAACTCGCTAACGGGGGCTCCGTTCCAAACCTACGCTCTGAGTACAACTTTTCACACTGACGTTTAAATTTGGACACAAAATGTAAGAAACTTTTGTCAAATTTAACATTTGTTGCACCTGGATATAGTTTTTCAGCGTAGTCTTTTGTTTTTTGTGTACGACAGCCAAGTCAAAGGTATTGGTAAGGTAACAGTCTTCTCTTCTATTCTTTTACCTTAGATGAGGCAATTTTTAAGTGAAAGTTCTTTTCGGTCGGGGTTTAAATGGAAAAATCCCATGGAAACGATGAAACGGAATATTTATTTATATTATGTGTGTGCAATGCGTGCGGAGTTCTTCCCGACGAGCATTAATGTTGGAGAGTAACTCGGCGAAGACTGAAACGCTACGAGCATCACACGAGACAATATATCTTAATATATATAAATCTCGTGTCACAATGTTTGTCCTCAATGGACTCCTAAACCACTGAACCGATTATAATAAAATTCGCACACCATGTGCAGTTCGATCCAACTTGAGAGATAGGATAGTTTAAATCTCAAATTATAGTCGCAATTTTAATTTATTGCAAATTATTACTTTTGGGCGGTACGAAGTTCGCCGAGTCAGCTAGTAAATTATAAATATACTAGCTGACCCCGCGAACTTCATACCGCCATAAAAATAGGGGCAGGTGGAAGAAGATTCCTCCTAACCCATATGAGAACGCTACTTTACAATACACAATAGCTTGAATTTTGGCGCGAAGGCGCATTGTAGGTTTCAGAACACTACGTTAGAGGCGGACAACCATTATCACTTAAGGATATGAAAAATAGATACGAGTAGTAGCCGATTCTCAAACCCGCGGAATATGCATATAAAATTTTATAAAAATCGGTCAGGCCGTTTCGGAGCAGTATGGTAACTAACATTGTGACAGGAGAATTTTATATATAAGATATATATATATGTTGGAGGGGCGAGCGGGATAGGCGGTTAGCCACGTGGTTCGTCTTGATCCGCCATCTTGGGTATTCGATGTTATTTTCCGAAAATAAAACTATAGTCTAATAACCAAGCTAATGTTTAATTTAAATCTTTAAATCACTTTACAAAATATGATATGATTACAATGGTACAAGTGGATTGCTTTGTGAAGCGCGGAGAGTTCTCTACTAACGTCCGTTCACTATGGCGGCTCACGTCTGAATGCTGAACGCCCCTTCCAATGAAGCATAGCCCCTTAAATACTACCCTTAGCATAGACCACTCCCAAGTGATGACAGCTGTCACTGTCATTACTTGACGTTTCACATTTTTTTTTTGTTGAAGTTCTCCCGTTCTAGGGAAGGCAAAGGGAACAATGCCCATACAGCCTGGTCTTGAATTAAATTTATCTTCTTTTTGTTTATACATTAGAATGTCGGTGTGACGCATTCTAATGTTTCTTGGAGTGTTTGGCACGAAATGTATCGAGTTGGCTTTTTCGATAAGCTTCTGTGAGGTAGTCAACACTACAATAAAATTCTCACGTCCACTTGACCGGAATAGCGTATATTTTAATGATTCCACTAATTCTTCAGTTACGCAGACAGTTGTTACACAAAACCACACCAATTTTATTTCACAATATCCACTATGAACGAATTTAAGAATAATTAAAATAAGACGCCAACCGCACTCGATGAAATCCCGCCAAAAACCTTGACGTTTCACAAGGCAACGGTACACTGACTGATGACATTTGTTGTCGGTTTAACGTTTCGAAGAAGCTAGTGAGACGCCATCCGCTGACATATACATGTGTATATGAGTGATGCTTGCGCTGCTTCATTCCCCTATGCTTTATGCACTGTCTTATGTTAGGAAAATAAGTTTCACTTCAGATGTGTGGTCAGTGCACACTAATTCTTTTAAATATATTTTTATTTTATTATATATCTATTTTATTATATTTTATCTTTTTTTTATTTATTTTTTCTTTTTTAATTTTTTTTTATCCACAGGCACTCCACTAAATATGGTGACTGAGCAAGCATTAGCACAAATTCTAGGAACGTCTAGACTGCACGCCGCAACGCTATGCAGGAATGTATTAAGACGAGGTGTACAGTCGTGTATCGAATACATAAAGCCAAGAGTGTTTTCTGGTAAGTATTTATCATAATTAACAGATTTATCATGATAACATCGACAAAAGAGGTTTATTTATTTATTTATTTATCCTTAACAAAGTTTCTAGAGTCTGCGCGCTTCTAGAGAATGGGATTTAGATTGGAGGCCGCTGTAGTGCTTTTCTACCGTATTTTTACCCCTTTTAGACATGATTAAATACAAAAAACCGCAAGAAATCACAACAACAAACAAATCTGTATCTGTACAAAGCTTTGACGTTTTACAGATTGCTGGGTTTGATTGCCAAATAAAAATCTTAATGTTAGTTCCGTTATTCACCACGCCCATTCTCTTTCCGCACAGACTCTACAACGGTTTTTTTGTGGATCGAATACAATATAATATAAATAAAAACTTAAGGCCAATTACAGAAACTCATTATACGTTAGATACTAACGGCGTTACTATACATATATCAGTACTTATTACTTTAATTTTAAAAATCATATAATTTACTAACATCAATAATAAAATTTAATTAAAATTGGACAAAATATAACAAAATGACAAGAAAGAAAAACAAACACTAAATACCCATACAAAAGAGTTTTCAAGAATTTGTCACATGATAACCTTATGAAGTGTGGGTGTGAGTGCATGTATGTATGTATGTGTGTGTGTGTGTGTGTGTGTGTCCATGCAGTTGCAATGCTATGCCTCGGAACAAGATGGCGAGCGCCGCGCCCCGGGCACTACATCATTCAAGTACTTCAGTGTAATTGTATTCTTACATGTCGCTGAGAATAAAATCAAATAAATAAAATCAAATTTCCGAGTATAAATACCTATGAATAAATTAAAGTAAAAAATAAATAAATATTTCCAACACTCACACCAATTAACCTAGCCCCAAGCTAAGCACTATAAGGCTTGTGTTATGGGATACTAGGGTAACGGATAGAATACATATACTGTACATATATAAGTATATTTATATAGAAATGCATATTAGACATCCATGACTGGAGTACAAATGCTCGTATTCATCACACAAACATCTGCCCCCACCGGGATTCGAACCCAGGACCTCTCGAGTCGGCGACACCATGAAACCCGGCGTACAAACCACTCGGCCAAGGAGGTCGTCAAAAAAGAAACAAAAGAATAGGCTAGTTGACTCATGTCGAATTGTATTAAATAAATGTTTATTTCTTTAAGTATTTGGTCTAAGGAACCTAAATATATCGATTTCACTTCATAAAAGCAGAAGATTGCTGTAGAAATTTAATTTTAAAAAATAATTTTTAGTCTATGCTTTTTTTTAAACACTAAAAACGCTGTTCGCCGCATCCGCCATGATTATGACGTCTCTGGTAGTAAACAACTAAATGTCATTCATACATAACCTTAAAACTTGTATTATTAAAACTGATAATAAATGAAGAGACTTAAATTATTATTCAATGAGTACCTATTTACATCAAAGTGATCTTCGCAAAAATAAATTTTACTGTGAGTCGATAAAGTTGCAGGATCCCTTTTAGCAAGTTCTAATCAGGTATTTCGTAGGTTAATTTCTTTCGGCACTTTAATCCACAACTTTCCTGGAGTCTTCAAGGATGTGTTTTTACATTCTCGTACAGTACAATAATGATAACTACTATATTTTTCCTGGTATTTATTAGTAATCATGTTTTTTTTTTATTATAAACTCAGATAGGTTATTTTCTACGTGCTTACGAGTTTTTCTTTACTACCGGTTGACGTCATAGCATAGATAATCTATAGACTAAAATGGCCGACAGCGTTTTTGTAATTCCATGAAAAGTGTATTTTAAAATTAAAGATTTGTAGCTTTCTAAGTCTCAAAATAAATACAATACATTTTTTTTCGGTCTAATAGAATATTTATTAACCATTATAAATCTTTTTCTAAAAAGGGTCAACTAGCCTATTGCAATAAATTGAATCTGTAATACATGAGCTTTCAAACAAAAGGTATAATACACTTATAAACAATACCTCTTTATAATATTAGTATCTATATATATAAAAATGAAACCCGTTTTCCGTTGTCACAACATAAGATGAAAACGGCTTGACCGATTTGGCTGTTTTTTTTTTGTAGTTTTCTAATACTCTGTACAAGGTTCTTAGGGAAAAAAATATAAAGAAAATCTCTCAGAAAGATTGAAAAATATAACGTAACGAATGTCAACGTCATTCAATTTAAAACAAAAAATCTGTGGTAATCTGTGACACCACATCGATAACCGCGCTGACAAATGTCAACGTCATTTAATTTAAAACAAAAAAATCTGTGGTAATCTGTGACAACACATAAACATCATAAATAAACACTATTAAGAAAATATATATGTTGTTTTTTATTTAATAAAAATTAGTAAAGTCCTCAGGTATGGCGAGACCAGGGAAATAAGGATTCTATTTTATATGGAGGATATTATAGATTCCAATTCAAATTGAATAGGTACTCATACATAAGATAGGTCAGCTATACAAAATAAAGTAGTGCATCAAAGCTACGCTAAGGCGGTACGAAGTTCGCCGGGTCAGCTAGTTTATTATAAATATGCTCTACATAATACAACCTCTCTCCGCACCAGGTAAGCCAGTTTCCGAGCTTTCCACCATCAGGTCGACGATCGGCGAAGCTGTTCTGGACATTTATGCCAGTGAGAGTGCAGACTATTTCACAGCCGGGCTTCTGGACGGATACGAAAGCCCTGATGCTGAGATGGAAATGGCGATGTGCAGGTAAATGACTGCTTCATCTTCATCTTCATCAGCCTATTAATGTCCTCACTGCTGGGGCACAGGCCTTCCCTATGGATGGAATAGGAAGATTGGGCCATGAGCCAGCACGCGGCCCAGTGTGGATTGGCGGGTAGTAATGATTGCCGATGCAGCCGGGACCAACGGCTTAATGTGCCTTCCGAGGCACGGAGGAACTAAATAAATAAATATTAAATATTTCCAACACTCACACCAATTAGCCTAGCCCCAAAGTAAGCACTGTAAGAAATTCAAAAAAATTCAAAAATTCAATATCGTTTATTCAGTCTAGGCTGTTACAAGCACTTGTGAATGTCGAAAAGCTACGTCATCGGTTCGCAAATCTACGGCGGGAGACCTTGTACTGAGAAGAACCGGCAAGAAACTCAGCAAGGGCTGTTTTTTTCTCCCTGCATTATATACAGAGTCGTCAATTTGAAAAATGAGTTCAATATGAGATAACCCATGAAGTCACTTTCCATTACAAATGTAAATGATAAAACAATTATGACTATAAAATAAAAAATATAAAAAACAGATTTAAAAATGAAAAAAAGTTTAGGAATGCCGTGTCCCACTGTTTAGGCATAAAAACAAATGTACCATTAAAGTTAAATACAACGATTAATAGTACCCAATGTAGCAAGAGCAGACTCATCTCCGCTGGCAGCACCCGTTCACGGCTTCAAGGCTCAAGGCTTGTGTTATGGGATGCTAGGGTAACGGATAGAATACATATATTCTAGATATATAAGTATATTTGTATAGAAATACATACAGTACAAATGCTCGTGTGGCGGCGACATCTATATGCCCCACATATAGACAACGGATGGAGGAAATCATTACTCACTGCGATCAATAATAGTATGGAAGCCTACATCGCGTAAATGAAATTCGGAAGCTAACTCTTCATATATACGATGCCCGACCAACATCAGTCGGGCCGCGGTCCCCGAGCTACCATCACCCAGCTCGGAGGAAGATCTTCCCCTCTTCCTACACTCGTATTCATCACACAAACATCTGCCCCCACCGGGATTTGACCTCTCGAGTCGGCGACACCATGAAACCCGGCGTACAAACCACTCGGCCACGGAGGTCGTCAAAACTCGAGATAGAAGATTTTTGGTCACCCATCCAATGACCGACCACTGCGAAAGTTGCTTAACCTTAACGATCTCCTCAACTTTTATGTAACGAATTTAACTTTATTATTTTCCTAGAAACATTATGGTGGACCGCGGTATAACTTCAATGTTGAATCTGCTCACTATACCGGCGTTAGAGCAGGAGGAGGAATGCAAGCGGCTATTAGACGACATGCGCCATCTAGCGGCACGCGGGGAAAGCATGGGATCGATCAATATGTTCATAGGTAAGTGGCTTGCATTCAAAGATTCTGTATTTGCTAATACTGTGTACAAAAGATGGTTATGTGATGAATTGGATCGAACAGTATCTCTTATCTATTAGACAAGTCCGTCCGTCCGTGTGTCTGTGGTGCTGTTTCAGCGGCCAAACCGTAAGAGATAGATAAAGAGAATATTTAAGTTATAAGTTAAGAATAGTCTGATAAGACTACAAACCGGATTTGAGTAACGTAGCACTTCCGGTTTTCGAGAAATCACGAATTTCAAACGAAACCACACAAAATCTCCGAAGTTCTCAATTAATATAATACATTTTTTTTTAAATCAGGTTTTGGTGAACATTTGGTTCACTGGTTTGCTAGTTGTACCTTAATCATGTAGGCACAACGATATTAAATGCCGTAGATACACCACGAGCGCTCAAAATGTGTCCCAATCAACAAGTGCTTGAACACCACTCAAGCACTAATATCCCATAAGTCAAAATTTTTGTTATCTTTACTGGAAAGTTTATTTGTATTTTCTTTTTTAATTTGCCACATTGTTTTTACTATGTTATTTGATGTTTTCATTCTATTTACATTATTAATTTTTTTAGAAGTATTTACTGCTCTTCTTAATATTATTTCATATTTCTTATAATTAATTTTCTTTGAGTATGGGATTGTTAATTTTTGAATTCAATATTTTAAGGAGTCTTTTATTTTTACATGATTATTGAATTCCGGAAGTAAGCCATGAATTTTTACTATTTTTTCTTATTTTTATCTGTTTTTTAGGTATTATTTTATTCAGAACCGATTGTATACATTTAGAAGCTCTTGTATACATACTTGTATACATTTAGAACTGGTGTCGATTCCGGCGTGATTCTCTAAACTTAAAACTAAATTTAACATCAGTCTCTCCTTTTCATACTGTATAGAGAATGACAAGGATACACTGTTGTCAAATTTATGTTTAGATTTACAGAATCCTGCCAGAATCGACACCAATGATTGTTAATTTAACGCATTCGAAGCAAATTTTGTTCTACTACTTACTATCAAATGATTTACTAGAAAATATTTGTGATATTCAAGTTGATTTTATAATGATTGGAAATGTAATTTTATAATTTTATATTCTTGGATCAACGCGTCATTACAGATCTATTCGGAATGAGCAGAACAGAGCGACTGTGCTATGCATACGTAGCGAAACCACGAGCGCGATATATTTCCCGTCCACGTTCCCGCCCCTTTCATGTACCAGTGACATATGCGTTTTTGGATACATTGTGTATGAAACGATGTCTCCAAAACTTCCCGTCCCGTTCCGTCCGGGTAAAAACTCGTCACGTATGCAGCGGCCTTAATATCGTTGGGTGAGACCTAAGTGGGACCAGGATTGGAATTCGCCTTTGAAAAAAAAGCAGATTAAAGTATAATCTACTCTACTGTATCACTTAGTGTCGCCGCACACGGGCCAACGACCACAACCACAAAACGCCGCCACCGGCATATTTCTTGTAGTTTCCATACATTTTATATGGACTCGCCACACACGGTACGCCGGTGGCCGCCACACGCTACAAATCGTCGTTGCTCGCTTCTTGTGGCCCGCACCGGCCACTTAATGCGCCGATACAAAAAAAAAATAATAATGTAGCGTGTGGCGGCCACCGGCGTACCGTGTGTGGCGAGTCCATATAAAATGTGTGAAAACTACAAGTTTTTCACACATTTTTACAAAACGCCGTCACTCGCGCGATTCCCCACCCCCTCTCGCTTACCTTAGTCGGCCGCTGTCGCGCGCTTCAGCCACTTTAGTAGCCGCTTCTAGCTTCTCGAGGCGGCGTTTGTGGCTGTGGCTTGTGGCCCGTGTGCGGCGACACTTACACGCGTTTGACTTAGCATTTCTTACAACAGTAGTTGCGTTCGGAAATCATCGCGGAGGCGACGATATTTTGGTCACTTGATAATAATAAATAAATAAATATTTCCAACACTCATACCAATTAGCCTAGCCCCAAAGTAAGCACTATAAGGCTTGTGTTATGGGATACTAGGGTAACGGATAAAATACATATACTGTACATATATAAGTAAGTATATTTATATAGAAAATACATGCTCGTATTCATCACACAAACATCTGCCCCCACCGGGATTTGAACCCGGGACCTCTCGAGTCGGCGACACCATGAAACCCGGCGTACAAACCACTCGGCCACGGAGGTCGTCATGATCACTCATGAGCTGATTCGATCTGTAATCGGACTGGCATAGTGGCGTTTTCGTAAAGGTAAATACAAATAAAATATGTTGAGGAGCTCGATGGCGCAAGTGGTCAGTGCGTTCGGCTGCGATCGTTGAAGTTAAGTAACTTTCGGAGTGGTCGGTCATTGGATGGGTGACCAAAAATTCACTATCTCGAGCTCCTCCGTGCTTCGGAAGGCACGTTAAGCCGTTGGTCCCGGCTGCATCTGCAGTCGTTAGCACCCGCCAATCCGCACTGGGCCCGCGTGGTGGGTCATGGCCCAATCTCCCTATTCCATCCATAGGGAAGGCCTGTGCCCCAGCACTGGTGATATTATAAGGCTGATGATGATGTTTTTGTTAAAGCCCTCAATGGAATACATCACGCTGGTAAACATATGGCAGAGGAGGTGAAGCAAATCAGGAACCCTCTATACCATCCAGGGTTCATACTGAAGAAGGTATTCGAGAGCAGACATCAGGTTAGTAATTAATAATACTTGTAATATTAAAATAACAGTTTACTCCGCACGACAATAGATGGCGCTGTATTCTTGTAGCACGCGCTATTATATGGTTGCGTCAATTTGTATAGATACTGGTTACTAGATCAGAAATTGCATCCCTCCGATTCCGTCGGCCTAGGCACGTCTAGGGGGTGTTAGTCGGACCTATCCATAAAAAAAAAATTCTGGCGACGAAACGCAACCGTTTTCGCTTTAACGAAAACTAGTTCTCGAAACGGTTCTCGTTCGCAACTGGTTTTGGTTGCGGCTGGGTGATGCAACGAAACGACACGCGATGGTCGAACGAATGTAACGCAACGAACCTGAACTAAATGAAATCTTGTTAACGTTCGTTTCGTTGCTGCGAACGAGACGACGAAACATTGAAATGTAGTGTTATAGGATAATCAACTTTAAATCCTCAATAATAAAGATTATATTATTGTAAAATCAAAGTTTAATTATCATAGAGCGAAACGGCCTCATATCATTGCGTTCTATTATAGACTGTATTTACTTCGTCGTAAAGTACATATTGGCGTTTAGTCAATCCGAGAACTAGTTGATCGACGAAGACTGTTTTGATCCGAAATGTAAAACTATCGTCGCGGACCACAAAACGGTCCTTGAAACCGGTTCGTCTTTAGAACGCTCACACCTAATAAATATCGATATTTTAAAAATATCGGCATCGATATATCGGACCAATTTTCCCTAAGATATATTTAGTCAGCCTAGCAGAGTAATAATAACAACACAAATTAGAGGTGGGTCGTCGACGAATCTATACCGTCCATCGACTAGTTGAATTCTTCGACTAGTTGACGTGATAACGGCAGGTGTTGAGGGGTTCATATCAACTACGCGGTGACTGGTCTACGGGCGCGACGCAACGACGACGGGGTCTTTATTTAGTATTCACTTTACATTATAGTCATTTAAATGTTTACAAAATAAATTACAAATTACTTACAACAATAAACATTCAATTCAAACGAACTTTGCACTAAATTCGAATTCACGTGTCGCTTGACCTTGACCTCGGGGCCTCCTTATTTCAATTTTCAATAAACAAAATTGCAACTACTTGAGGTAACAAAAATATTATAAACCCGTTCATCGTGCACTGCATCGTTAAGCCAGATCCATCGACGTACTGTTTCACGCAATATCAAAATACTCTTGCCTTTTCACCCTTACAACTCTAGTTTAAAAAACGAACAAATATCAACTCCCACGCCATATACTTAAGTTTCAAATTGCTTTATTTCAACGAATAGACGAACGTATGGACTTGTAACCGTTAAACCGGATACGTTTACGCGTCGTCGTCGCGTTGTCAGTAGATATGAACGCTGTGGACTCTCAGTTTAGCCGTTTATGAATTCAACTAGTTAACGAATGAACTGTAGACCGTCGAAGCGTCGATTGAACGTAGACCGTCTATTTAAACCGTTCTTTAATTGTTAATTCAACTCCCATCGCTAACACAAATCATAATCAAAGAAAGAATTATCAAAGTACCAAATTGCCGCTACACTACATGACAGTACAGTATCTCACGAAAGATGACACGCGGAATAATAATGGAACGAAAATTATCTCCCTACAACTAGATCCTATTTTAGAATGATGAGAATGATTGCAGGGCCTCTCAGGTGCCATCTTTCGTAAACAAGACTAGACAGTCACACACTTCCACAGAATAAATTCAGCACAACCAATTTACCAGCGAAACAGATTTACAAATCATAGACAATACTAAATACAGCACAGATCATAGATATGTTGAATATCATTAATCTGAGATCCAAATACAAATTTAGTGAGATCGTGATATGCCGCTAATAAAAAAAAATATCGTTTTTGATACGAATTTGGATATTGTTAATTTTGTATCGATGTGGTGGAAATGGTCGCGTTTCATGAAATGTTTCACTATGTATTGGCCACATCATGATGTGGTTTGGGCAGATCGATGATGAGAAATCGTTTCACGATATGGTCAACTAAACGCGTGGCTACTTCATGAAATGGCAAAAATTATTTGATCATATTGTAAAGTAGTTACTTTAATTACCGGTAGAGGCGCTGCAAGCGCTTTGTTTATATATTTATATTGCGGCCGCTGCCGACAATGTTGTTTCTCGCAGTGAAAAAGTGCATAATTCGTTATTTAATGAGGAAGAAAGTTAACAAAAGGGTTTTCGACGAAACAAATTAAGGAGAGTAGGGTGAGGAGGTAGGGTGACGCAAAAGAAATCTATGGACTATTACTGGCTGTCAAAATATGACATTTTGGAAATTGCGGTACAAAGTGCGGATGAGAATCAATGCCGTACAAAGATATACTGTAAAACTGTACTTCCAGGGCCCAAGAGGTGATACTTGAATTTCTTTTGTAGAAAAGGTCTCTTTTAATAGAGTTTTTTTCTGGCGCTTCGCCCGCCGCTGCCGCGGCATGCTCGCTTTGCTCGCTCGACTCGCACGTCATGGTCACGACACTTACCTAACCTAACCTAGTGTGAAGTATTAGAGAGAGAGAGAGAGAGAGAGAGAGAATCATTTTTATTGACCACATATTAATTTGCAAAACAACATACAAAAAAAAAATAAGAAAATATACATAATGGAGAAAAGAAAAAGAAAAATGAAGTACCATTTGTGGTCAATCAGGACCCTGCCTCAGCGTAATGCTACCGCAACACGCTATAAAACGTGTCACAGCAGCGCTGGTATTCTGGCAGGGCCTGTTATGCCAGAACCTCACATGGCCAATCGCATCCGCCTCGATAGCAGTTCCTTCCTCTCACTGCCCGTTATGGATACATATCTATCAAAAAGCAAACACGATTAGCCACATGAAGTGCCAGCACAAGGTGCGAAAGAATACAATTTCTGAATTCTGCGCTCCGTAATCCGTGGCTGTCACTTGTTAATGTTACTATTACTGTCGTCACACATACCGCACAAAAACAGTGAAATTGAGTGTACAAACTCAGTAATTGCTCAGCAACTTGAATAGAAAAGGGAAGCAGCTATATAATCCCGTCAGAAACGTGCACCCAGATCACACGATTACCATGAAGAACCCCCGCGGCCGCCTATCACCCGAATAAGTTTGCCTCCAGGTACTCTCCTAATCTAATCCCCATAACTTACTGTCGAGACTGAAAATTGGGTGAGTATCTTTAAATTAATGCGTACATTGCAAATTCAGCAAATGACGTTTTAAGGTAGTCTTCAATGATTGTTTGGATTTCAGATCTCGCATCGGAGGAGGAAGATCATTCCAGCACCTGGAGGCAGCGAACCTGAAAGACCCACGAAAAGCAGCAGTGTGGTGTGTGGGGGTGGAGAAGACTCGAGTGCACCGCCTCTTTTGGTGTTTACTGTCAAGTTGTGCCCATACCAATTTAGCTGACAGATATTGTGGCTTGCCTGTGTGTATGATGCCAAACATTAAGGTAGTGAGGTGCACTCGCCTACGGCTCTCCATCTTCAGCATGTTAGCTGAATTCAAAAATGAGGTGACATGTGTTCGTGGCGGTATGCCAAAACAGAAGCGTGCGCACGCATTTTGAACACGCTGAATAAGCCGTGCTGTTCTAGCCAGTAAACATGGACCATAGACTGTGTCACAGTAATTGAATTTGGACAGAACCAATGCCTCACATAGTGTTATTCTGAGTTTTTCAGATAGATATTGCCTTATCCTGTACAGCAACTTCAATCTATAGAAGCAGTTACGTGCGCACTCTACAATATAATTTTCAAAGTTTAACTGGCTATCCAGAGTCAGACCTAGACTCTTTGCTGCATTTACCCTCTCTACAAGCACTCCATCCATTTCAATATTCAGCAGGCTAGTATTGATCTTATTGATGTTGTTTCTAGTACCTGTGAGCAAAAGTTTAGTTTTATGTGGGTTCAGTACTAGACAATTTGAACGACACCATTTTGATATTCTCGTAAGATCTCCATTCACTCTTTCCACAGCCTCAGTGACGTCGGATGGCTTAAAAGAGTAAAAAAGTTGTATGTCATCGGCATACAAATGATACCTGCACTCTTGTATGCAGTCGACCATATCCGCACTGTACAAAACAAATAAAAGAGGACCCAGCAGTGAGCCTTGTGGTACTCCTCGGGTGACTGGCAAAGAAGGTGATCGGGATTTAGTGCCATTGGCTGCAGATATTTCCACGAATTGTTGCCTGTTTGTAAGATAACTGCAGAACCATCCAACCGCATCAGTGTCAAAGCCGTAATATGTCAACTTAGACAACAAAAGTGTTGTATTAATGCAGTCAAATGCACGAGAGCAGTCCAACAGCAGCAGAGCACCAACCATACCCCTGTCCTGAGCTGCCAAGAGATGATCCACTATATCAGCCAAAGCGGTTGCTGTGCCGCGACCCTTGCGAAAACCTGACTGGAGCTGTGGCAATAAGTCATGGCTCTCGATGTACTCAGTGAGTTGATCGCTGACAATTTTTTCCAGAATCTTGGACAAGCAGGGAAGAAGACTTATTGGTCTAAGATCATTTAAAGATGATGGCTGTGTATTTTTGGGTAACGGTTTTATCACAGCGTGCTTCCAAGCTTCTGGAAATGTGCTTTCACTTAAAGATCTATTTATTATACTGGTGATTGCTCCTAAGGACTGAGGCAAAGTGAGTCGCAACATTTCCAGTGAGATGTTGTCGTGCCCCCGCGCATTGGATGTAAGTCCTGTAATAGCTTTAAGTACCACATCTGCATTGACGGGGTGCAATTTGAATGTTCCAGCCCTACTGTGTCTGTGGTGTTCGTAGAAAGTGAGGTCCGAAATAGATACATCCTCTCTACCCGGGACTTTAAGGAAATGCCTATTCATTGAGTCAGGGTTATCTAAGCATGATGGAAGACAACTTGTAGCTGTGTTATCAGGCAGTATGTCCCGCTTCAGGTTCTGCCACAGTTTTTTAGGTTGT